AATATCACAAGAACTGTCTCTAGGCAATGTCCTAAAATTCTTCTCCTCTGAAAACTCTTGAGTCAGCTCCGCAGTTCAAACCATCCTCAGCACCACTGTCTTCCATGCTCCTACTAGTGTGGTCCATTAAGCAGGGCTTAAAGCATCCACTGCTTTCCCAACACAAACTCCTAAAGTTCATATTCCTCCAAACAAATACATGATATGACAGCCTGTCACAGCAATGCCCCAGTGCCTGGGATGAACTTCTGTCTTAGGGCTTCTTCTGTTTGTTTTCTGAGACAGGGTTAGATTGTGTGACAGCCCTGGCTGTCCTGGAACTCACTTACTCACTTAGTATACCAGACTGTTCTTGAATTCACAGAAATCCACCTGCCGCTGCCTCCCGAGTGCTGGGATTAAAGGTGTGCACCTCTCTTATAAAGGAAAATGTTAAATTGAGTTTCAGAGGTCTGGTCCATTACCATCACAGTGAGGAGCATGATGGCCCCCAGGAGGACACGGCGCTGGTGACATCTTGATCCGAAGGCCACAGGAATAGACAGTGGGTGGGAGCTGGGTCCAGCCATTAGGGAAGTTAGATTGTTCTGTGGGTGGAACCTGGCAGTTACAGGTCTTCAGGGGAGAGGCCTGCCCACTCGTCTGCCCCCAGAGCCTTACAAGTAGACCCTAACTAAGACAGAGGTCACACAGGCCTGACTGTGTTCCCTGCAGGCACCATGCTCTCCTGAAGCTCAACCCCTGCCTCCCTTGTCCTCAACCAGCTCCTATGAGGCAGCTCACAACCTCCTGAAACTCCAGCTCCAGGGGAATCTGATGACCTCTTCTGACCTCCTAGGGCAGCCGGCATCATGTGTTACACATAGCTGCGTTCAGTCTAAATACTCACATTCATAGAATAAAATAAACATTTATAAAAACTCGAAAGTGTCATTTGATTGTAATAGCACACCTGAGAGTCCAAAACCAACTTAAGACATTGAACATGACAGTTCTCGTGTGTGACCAACCTCCTGTTGGTAATATGGGTCAATCACCCTTCCTAACGCTGCTACTCCTTTCTTAGACGGCTGGCTAAAGGACATCGGAAGCCCTAAGTGGCCATGGAAAAGTCTGAGCTCCCGCTTGGCGGGAATGTGTATTGTGGATTCTGGTGGGAGCGCTCCTCACTCTGGATCCAACACTTCTAGGCCAGCAGAACTTAAGGTGCAGAAACAGGAAGCAAACGTTTTCCACCTGCCCTTTGGCCCCTGCTACCTTTGAGCCCAGTTAAACCCATTCATTCATACAACTGACCAGAGCATCTCCAACTCAACCTCTGGCTCAAGGAAACCATGAGCGCAAAGCTCTTCAAATGCGCTGACGCCCTCTGAGGGATCGGGGCTTTCCCCAGTGTACAACTGGGCCTGAGTTTCAGCTTCCTAAAAGGACAATGAGGGAGACAGCATGTACCTGGCCTAACTCAAGGCAGTGGATCTCCCTAAACCATACCCTGCCAGGCCCAAGTGTGCCCCAAAATGGTAAAAGTATAACCACTGCAAATTAAAAGTGTACTAATGCAGCTACAGTCTGCTTAACCAATTGTGGTCTCAGATTTAACAGGAGCCGCCCACACATCCAAGTTACAGGATCCCATTCTTGTCAGTCAATGCTCTTACTTTCACTGCTGGGCCTTGAATTTTCGCTGTCATTCAGGCAGCCTTATAATGAGGGCTTCCGTTTGATTTTCCACAGCGTGAGCTCTGTGGCTGCTGGAGAGAAGATTCTCTCCCAGGGCACCTTAGAAACCTTCAGATTGTTCATTTCCATCTGGAGCAAGTCAGTTTCATCGCTAAGTGAACTGTTGTCACTCACCGTGTTCTGAGGTACTAAAATTGGCTAATTTTTTTTTTTTTTTGGTTTTTCGAGACAGGGTTTCTCTGTGGCTTTGGAGGCTGTCCTGGAACTAGCTCTTGTAGACCAGGCTGGCCTCGAACTCACAGAGATCCGCCTGCCTCTGCCTCCCAAGTTCTGGGATTAAAGGCGTGCGCCGACGCCCAGCAAAGTTGGCTAATTTTATCACAGAGTTCATTCCTTAACTCAGTCACTTTATCCAGAGATGCTAAGAGCAACAGACCAGCACCGTCATTTTCCTTATTTTTCCACAAGCTGCCAAAATGTTTTTAATATATAGTGAATAATTTCATTGTGGACCACAATGGGTGTATCAAGATAAATCAGGAAAATCAAGTGCATTTATCTTCTTAAGTTCGTAAAACAGTTCACACCATGAGCCTCCAGTGCTCTCCCAGCCCCCAAGACATGTGTCAGGAACAGAGAATGCTTTGGGAGCTGTAGGTGTTGGAAAATTGGAAACACTAAGCCAGATATTTAAAAGATTCATGTTTATATTTCTGTTGCTCCAGAACCACTTCAGTTATAAAAATCTGTACTAGCTGGGCGGTGGTGGCAAGTCCAGCCTGGTCTACAGAGCGAGTTCCAGGACAGCCTCCAAAGCCACAGAGAAACCCTGTCTCAGAAAAAAGAAAAAAAGAAAAGTCTGTACGCATCGGGGTTCTGTAGAGTAAGAGAACTAAATCAATGAATATCTATCTATCTATCTATCTATCTATCTATCTATCTATCTATCTATCTATCTATCGATCTATCCACTTATGATATATTAGAATGACTATCATGCTGTGGTCCACTTAATCCAACAGTGGCTGCCTGTGAACAGAAAGTCCAAGAATCCAGTAGTTGTTCAGTCCACGAGGCTTGATGTCTCAGCTGGTCTTCAGTAAATGCTAAATCCTGAAGTAGTCGGTTCTGATGCCAGTGAAGGAATGGACCTGCTAGCAAGAACAAGAGCAGCAGGCTTGGGGAGCAAGCTTCCTCCTTCCATGTCCTTGTATTGGCTGCCAGCAGAAGGCGTGGCCCAGGTTAGAGGTGGTTTCTCAAGCCTCAAGTTCTCGACTAAATGTTGTTGTCTTCCCACATCAAAAATCTGCGTCAGAAGTTGATTTTCCGGATTCAACTTAATCAAAATCCCTCAAATTGAGCAAAAACACCCTTGTTTGGGGCTTTTAGTTAATTCCAGATGTAGTCAAGTTGACAAGAATAGACATCAGAGTCTATTTCAGAGATCAGGAAACTTCCCTGGGTCCAGGCTTTGTAGCCTCTTTTGGTTTTCATGGCTCTGCCTCCTCCCTGAAAACAAGCAAAGATGTTCTCTTCTCACAGGTGGAAAAGGATGTTGAGTTCCATCTGGCTGTAATTTTGATGAGGGCAGGTCAGCCAGAGATCGTAGAGCCTTGGAGTAGTGTAGACAGGGCCTGTGAGGCAGCTCAGCCAGGCATGGTTACTCTTCAGCTCAGATTTAGTCCTGCATCTCTTTCTACAGGAGGCTGAACTATGGCCCTAGACTCTGAGGCTTCTCTGTCACATTAAAAAGATGAGGCTCTGGCTGGCTGAAGTAAGAGGAAAGATGGGGACAGGGGACATCACTGGCTGCAGGAACTCTCTGGATGTTGGCTATGTCATGGACTCTTACAAGTGATAACCTAAGTGACTTGCTAGAATGTTTCTTTTTTTTGTTATTTAGGTTAGAAACGATCTTGTTTCACATGTCAATCCCAGCTCCCTCTCTCTCCCCTCCTCCCCTGCCCTCCCCAACCAGAACCCCCAGCCCCCCACCCAATCTCCACTCTGATCACCAAGGAGGGTGAGGCCCTCCATGGTGGATCTCCAGTGACTGTCATTTCATCCAGGGCAGGGGCTAGGCCCTTCCCCAAGAGTCCCAGCTGAGAGAGCCTCCCATATTGTGGCATGGGCACTCAAAGTCTATTTGTACTCCAGGGATAAATACTACCCAAGGCCCCATAGATTACCTAGGTCTCCTCACTGACACCCACATTCAGGGTGTCTAGGTCAGTCCCATGCTTTCCACACAGCCATCAATCTGGTGTCCAAGAGCTCCCCCTTGTTCAGGTCAACTGTTTCTGTGGGTTAAACCAGCCCAGTCTTAACTCCTTTGCCCATCAGTTCTCTCTTTCTGACACTGGATTCTAGTTCAGTTCAGTGTTTGTCTGTGGGTATCTGCCTCTGCTTTCATCAGTTGCTGGATGAAGGTTCTGTTTCCTAGACTCTTTGGAAGTGTTATTGTATGCTGGCACTCCCATGATTCCTGTCTAAAATCTATATATGAGTGAGTACATACCATGTTTCTCTTTTTGTGCCTGGGTTACCTCACTCAGTATAGTTTCTTCTAGTGCCATCCATTTGCCTGCAAATTTCAAGATTCCATTGTTTTTTTTTTCCGCTGAATAGTACTCCATTGTGTAAATGTACCACATTTTCTCTATCCACTCTTCAGTTGAGGGACATCTAGGTTGCTTCCAGGTTCGGGCTAGTACAAATAATGCTGCTATTAACATAGTGGAGCAGACATCCTTGTATGAATGTGCTCTTTTGGGTATATGCCTAAGAGTGGAATTGCTGGGGTGCCTTTTTGTCTTGCTGACTGTGTCCTTTGCCTTACGGAAGCTTCTCAGTTTCAGGAGGTCCCATTTATTAATTGTCGATCTCAGTGTCTGTGCTACTGGAGTTATGTTCAGGAAGCTGTCTCCTGTACCAATTCGTTCAAGGGTGCCTCCCACTTTCTCTTCTAGCAGGTTCAGTGTGGCTGGATTGATGTTGAGGTCTTTGATGCACTTGGACTTATGTTTTGTGCATGGCGATAGATGTGGATCAATCCGCATTCTTCTACATGCCAGCATCCAGTTATGCCAGCACCATTTGTTGAAGATGCTTTCTTTTTTCCATTGTATATTTTTGGCTTATTTGTCGAAAATCAGATGTTCATACATGTATGGTTAATATCAGGGTGTTCAATTTGATTCCATTGGTCTACCTGTCTGTTGGGGAAGTCTTATGTCAATAAAGTACTGTTGAGCCTATAGGGAACCAAGATGGGAGGGACTAGGAGTCGAGGAGGATTCTGGGAAAGAGAAAGACAAGAGAGTTCGAGATGTAACCGCATGGGGTAGGAAGCCGGGAACTATTCTCCGGTAAGAAACATACTTAGATTAACAATTATGGGGTAAAGCAGAGCTAGCCAGTAAGAGACAAGCAAGGCCAACAGCTTCATAATTAATATAGCCTCCTGTGTGTTTATTTGGGACTCATGCGGATCTAGAAACAGGCTGGCGCGGCAGAGCCCAGGCGACTGGCGGGGGATAAACCAAAGCGGCTAGCAAAAGAAAAAGCTTCTCATAACATAATGGTGTCAGGAGTGGGATTGAATTTCCACGCAAAACAACAAAAGCTTTAAAGGAATTTTAGAAACAGAAGAACGGAGAGAAGCACAGATTTTTGGTAGCAGCATTTTTCTCAGGTGTGCTCTGTTTTGCTAACGACAAGCCGAGATTCACGTGGCTTGCTTACCGGAGTCTTCCTGACTCGGCATAAAAAACAAAAAACAAACAAACAAAAAAAACAGCAAGGTTGTTTTAAAAGACTCTGCTAACGATTGAAAGGTGTGTACGTACAGCTGGAAGTGGCAGCTTTTGCTGGAGGTCAGCATGGACTGAGGCGGTAAGCTGGAGTCATGCTTACGCCCGCCATCTTGACGGAAAAAAAAAAAAACACCGGCAGTTTAAAACAGCCGCGGTTTTACAGATAAGACACGTGGCCAGAAAAACATTACAGTAAAGTCAGACTTGGATGAAGAAAAACTTCTAAAGGTTTACAGTGTGTTTAAAAATATATGTGAGATTGAGAGAGAAACTGAAACGACAAAGTGGTAAATAAATACAAAAGCCGGCGTTGTGGTGGCGCATGCCGGTAGGATTGCTCCAGAGGCAGAGGCAGGCAGGTTTCCACAGAGAAACCCTGTCTCAGAGAAAAATAAATAAAAGTGAAAGAAATAAAGTAATATTAGATAAATAAATAAGCCACGTAAAGATGGAAAATACACAGAGAGTCTGGATACTGTACGCTATTGTGTTTTTCAATTTTTTAATTGCTCAGGAAGGAACAGCTGCTAAAGTACACTTGATTATAAATGCTGCTAAATTAATCCAACTTCTATCTTTTGAAAATGACTTGACTTCAAAATTTAAGTATAAGGATATGTTACTCGGAAAAGGAGTTTTTGCTTATGTTTCTACAGAAAATGAAAAGCTGAGAATTCCTTCCAGGCTTCTGTGGTTTCACGAACCAAGACCCCCGGAAGCAGTGGACCAGGTGTTTCAACGACTGAGACAGCTAAGATGATACAGCCTTACAGACCCCGAAAATACGGACTTATACAGGTTTCTGAGTTTTGTCATGATCCCCATGGTATGAACAGCGCCCCCTTCCAGCAGGAAGCAGTTTGGAATGAACGACGTCCCAATTCCCATCTTGTTTATAAATCTTTGTTTTCATCTAAATGGGATTGTTTATAATTGGCTAGTGATCATAGCCAATCTTTTTTAATGGTAAAAAAGGGGAATTATGTTATGGGTATTATTTTTCATTTATTGATACAAATTCAAAGTCAATTTTGTGATGCTTATATTTCTCCTCTTGATTAAGTATTGTGCTTATACTGATCTTTTACAACGTAATGCATAATTGAATACAGACTATAGTTACTTATAATAGAATTTCTAGTTACATAAGCTAGGTTTTCTAGATATACAGAAATATATTTGAGACAGATAGACAGTCTTCAAACCTCTCAAAGACCTTCAGAACATGGCATTTAAAATGGTCTAAGGTTTTTTTTGACAATGAGAATTGTCTGCTCCTGGCAGCACCAATTATGTCTGAGAGGAAGATGGGCATCGAAGAAACTTGTTATGGAGTTTGCTTTCAACATGGCAAGATTAGCCATTTGGGCAAGAAACTGCTCTTGCCTAGACTGTTTGACTATTGTTGTATAATCTGGACATGCAGGACCCATAGGGATGTGACTGCTGAACTAAGTCTTACAGGGTTCCTGCTGCATGAAAGAGTCTACGGGACTTTCTGCAGGACACAGAAAAATGACTGACAGACTGCTGATGCAGATGGACAGTTTGAAATTTCCTGCTTTGCTGAGAAGTGTTCCAGATACATTGTGGCCTATGGGCTGAAGATGGATGCCCCAACGTTACAGAGGAACTTCGGGTGACTGTCCAGGCAGTAAGATATCTCTGCCAATCCTAGTGTTTATATATTACCCTTCTGTGGTCTTTGATAGAGTTGAAGACAGATAGCTATAATTATAGTTTTCCTTAGTTATGATAAGAGATAAGCTACATATAGAACTTTAGACTCACAAGGATGGGATGGATGATATTTTCTTTAGATCTTGCTAAATGTTAATAGACAAAATGTTGTAACTGTGTTCTTACTTGATAACTGTTCTGTCATATACAATTTGACTATGTTAAAGTTAAGACCTTTCTTTTTGTTTAAACAGAAAAGAGGAGATGTTGGGGAAGTCTTATGTCAATAAAGTACTGTTGAGCCTATAGGGAACCAAGATGGGAGGGACTAGGAGTCGAGGAGGATTCTGGGAAAGAGAAAGACAAGAGAGTTCGAGATGTAACCGCATGGGTAGGAAGCCGGGAACTATTCTCCGGTAAGAAACATACTTAGATTAACAATTATGGGGTAAAGCAGAGCTAGCCAGTAAGAGACAAGCAAGGCCAACAGCTTCATAATTAATATAGCCTCCTGTGTGTTTATTTGGGACTCATGCGGATCTAGAAACAGGCTGGCGCGGCAGAGCCCAGGCGACCGGCGGGGGATAAACCAAAGCGGCTAGCAAAAGAAAAAGCTTCTCTTAACACCTGTCTATTTATTTTTGTGCCAACACCAAACTGCTTTCAGGACTACAGCTCTATAATAGAGCTTGAAGTCAGGGATGGCCATGCCTCCAGATGTTGCTTTTTGAATAAGGTTGTTTTGGGTATCCTGGGTCTTTTGTTTTTCCATACAAAGTTGATTATTGTTCTTTCAAGGTCTGTGAAGAATTGTGCTGGGATTTTAATGGGGATTGCATTAAATCTGTACATTGCTTTCTGTAAGATTGCCATTTTTACTATGTTGATCCTACCTATCCAAGAGCATGGGAGAGTTTTCCAACTTCTGGTGTCTTGTTTAATTTCTTCCTTTAATGACTCAAAGTTTTTGCTATGCAGGTCTTTCACTTGTTTGGTTAGCGTTACTCCAAGGTATTTTATGTTGTTTGTGGCTATTGTAAAGGGTGATGTTCCTTTGATTTCTTTCTCAGCCCTTTTATCGTATGTATATAGTAGGGCTACTGAATTTCTTGAGTTGATCTTGTATCCTGCCACTTTGCTGAAAGTATTTATCAGCTGCAGGAGTTCCCTGGTGGAGTTTTTTGGGTCATTTATGTAAACTATCATATCATCTGCAAATACTGAAAGTTTGACCTCTTCCTTTCCAATTTGTATCCCCTTGATGTCCTTTTGTTGTCATATTGCTCTAGCTAGAACTTCAAGTACAATATTGAAGAGGTATGGGGTGAGGGGACAGCCTTGTCTTGTTCCTGAACTTAGAGGAATCATGTTGAGTTTCTGTCCATTTAGTTTGATGTTGGCTGTTGGTTTGCAATATATAGCTTTTATTATGTTGAGGTAAGTTCCTGTTATCCCAGATCTCTCCAAGACCTTTATCATGAAGGGGTGTTGGATCTTGTCAAAGGCTTTTTCAGCATCCAGTGAGATGATCATGTGATTTTTGTTTCTCAGCTTGTTTATATGGTGAATTACATTGCTGGGTTTTTGTATGTTGAACCAACCCTGCATGCCTGGGATGAAGCTCATGGTGGATGAGTTTTCTGATGTGTTCTTGGATCCAATTTGCCAGTATTTTATTGAGTAGTTTTGCAACAATGTTCTTGAGTGATATTGGTCTGAAGTTCTCTTTTCTTAGTTGTGTCTTTGTGTGGCTTGGGGATCAAGGTTATTGAAGCTTCATAGAAAGAGTTTGGCAAAGACCCTTCTGCTTTTATTGCGTGCAATACTTTGAGAAGAATTGGTATAAGCTGTTCTTTGAATGTCTGGTAGAATTCTGCACTGAGGCTATCAGGCCCTGCGCTTTTTTCAGTTGGGAGGCTAGAATCTTTCTTGTTCAGCAGCAATTAAACACCAGCACACAGTTCAGGTGCAAGGAGGAGCACACAGTGTCTTTTTCCTGGAGTGAGGCTGTGATCCACTGTGCACAGTAGGTCCATAAGGTGACATCTTCCTGTGCTTTTAGTTTTACACTGTTTTGCTAAAATTCATTTCAGCACAGTCTATTTCAGTCACCAGTCCCTGTTCTGATCCAGCTCTGGCTTCATTTGCTGCTGGTTTAATGTTGACCACACAGCCCTGTGCCCTCAGCCCCCCCCCCCGGGTGTCACGCTCCAGATGTGTAGGAGAGGGAGCTGTTGGAGCACTTGAAAAATGTATTCTTTAAGTTTTACTTCATTTATTTTGAGACAGTGTTTCTCGGTGGCTTTGAAAGCTGCCCTGGCATTTGCTCTGTAGACCAGGCTGGCCTCAAACTCACAGAGATCCGCATGCCTCTGCCTCCTGAGTGCTGGAACTAAAGGCGTGAGCCACCACTGCCCCGATAGTTTTATTTTATTAGGTGTATTTGTTTCTTCATATATTACAGAATTATACCAGACATTGGATGCCTTGAAACTGAAGATTCAGATAGTTGTGCAACACCACGTATGTAGGTGCTGAGAACTGAACCTGGATCCTCTGCAACAGGAACAGGTGCTCTCAACCTCTGAGCCATCTCTCTAGCACCATTGGAGCTTATTTTTTTAAATAACTTTTTTATTTTTTATTTTAGTGCATTGGTGTGAGGGTGTTGGGTCCCTGGAACTGGAGTTACAGTTGGAAGCCACCATGTGGTTGCTGGGAATTGAACCCAGGTCCTCTGGAAGAGCAGCCAGTACTCTTAACCACTGAGCCATCTCTCCATTCCCAACCATTGGAGATTTTACAGAAGGAAACCACACAGCCTGGCTCACAGCAAGACAGCTGACAAGATGGCTGACCACAGAAACTGGAAGCAAAGGAAGAGGCAGGGTTAGTGCAGAGCTCGAGTGAGGGGTGCTGGGCACTGATGGGGTGAGGCCTGAGGACAGAGAAGGGCTGAGCAGGAGGTGACAGAAGAAAGGGGGGATCCTAACACAGTGGAGTCCTCCTGGTTGAGGGCGTTTGTCTACAGATCACATGCACACATCTGCAGAACCCTGCAGGGCATCTCACACTCCACACTGCATGCTGGGATGTTTGAATGAGAATGGACACACAGGCTCACAGGTTCAGACACTTCAGCTCCAGGTGATGGAACTGTGTGGGGAGGATCGGGAGGTGTGGCCTTGTTGGAGGAGGTGTGTCACTGGGGCTGGACATTGAGGTTTTAATAGACTCCCACTATTCCCAGTGTCTCTGACATTTGCTTGTGGATCAAGATGTGAGCTCTCAGCTGCTCCAGCCACCATTCCTTTCTTCTGCCACCATGGACTCAAACCCTCTGGAAACCTAAGCCCAAATTAAATGCTTCCTTTTATAAGATGCTGGGGTCACAGTGTCTTATCACAGCCATAGAAAAGTAACTAAAGTCAGATGTGGTGACTCAAAACTTTAATCCAGGACATGGGCTGCAAACGCAGGTGGATCTCTGTGAGTTCAAAGCTAGCCTGGTCTACACAGTAAGTTTCAGGACAGCCAAAGCTGGGGAGATAAACGTGATCTCAATAAACACCAGGAGAGACCCACAGGCCAGACCCATTTCACCATCTCCTCACCCTTCCTCTTCCTTCTTCTCTTCAACAGTCAGGCCCTGGATCTCCCAGTAGAGAAGTCACTTCCGGGAACACAATGGCAACAACACTCGGGTCAGGATACAGGGGAGAGATGATTTCTCTCTAAAGCAGAGGCCCTGGCCTGCAAGCACCACACAGACACCAGGCTCCTGTGTCCACCTGCAGGGGGCGCTCACACTGCCAAGCCTGGTGCTCGGGAATCTCCCCTGTAAAATAGAGACTTTGCTCATCACTCAGGATCCAGTCTTCACAGCCTTGTGCTTACACTCAGACTCCTAGTGTTTCCTCCCAGATGACCGTCTGTGGTTCCAGGTGGTTGTGTTTTACACGGATCTTCACTCCATAGTCCTCAGATTGTCTGTGTGGACCTGGGTCATCATCTCAGCACAGTTGACCCCTTCCCCACTGGGGAGACCCTGTGGAGACCGAATACATCAGGGCACTGATCCTGTCTACACAGCACATTTCCCTGTGTCCACACACTTCCATGCTACAGTTGCTTTAGTGAATAAAACACAGTGAGAGAGGAACTGTAAAGCAGAATAATGATGGTAGTGTGGTAGAAGTTACATAACCTGTGACCTCTCATTTTCTCTCTCTCTCTGTTTCTCTGTCTCTGTCTCTCTCTGTTTCTCTGTCTCATTCTCTCTCTCTCTCTCTCTCTCTCTCTCTCTCTCTCTCTCTCTCTCTCTCTCTCTCTCTTCCTCTCCCCATCACTCTCACACTGTATGAGATGAGAGAGATGAACATCACCGGATTGTGGGGCCCTGGACCTGATAACCATTTGGCACCTGAGTTTCTCAGGCCTGTGCAGTGTGGACACTGGACAGAGGGTGATTCTCATGGCAGAGATACACACTGGGGATTCTTGTCCTAGCGTGGAGTAAAATTATGTTTATAATTCTTTTTCGTTTCTGTGGATTGTGACTGATGTCTCCAAACCCCAGCCACACATAACTGAAGTAGAAAGTGAAAGCAGAGGAGGGTAGAGAGTCCTTCCTGCACGGAGTCACGCATGACACAGTGTGTCCAAAGGGCTTGACCAGAGCTGTGAAAACTCCAGTCACCTCCCATGCAGGTGTCCACGGCGGCCCCACGCACTCACCAGGACTGTGACAGCGTCTGTTTCCGTGAACATTCATTTTAACGCTGCCTGTGTTTCACCCGCAAACGTCATGCTCTTAGGTTTCATCCTGATTTGAGGAGCAGGTGGCCTTGGGCCGCCCAGAGACCCCGGGACAAACGCGATCTGCCCCCAGCTCAGGGTCAGACAAAGTCTTGGTCCCGGGCGGTGAGGTCCGGGTGGAGAAGCCCAGAGCTGGGGATTCCCCTGTCCCCAGTTTCACTTCTCCAGCTCCTGACCTGTGTCAGCTCCTTCTGCCCGGACACTGATGACGACGCGGCGGTTCGCACCCCCATTGGCTGTCGAAATCCCGGGGACCCAATCAGCGTCGCCGCGGGCATCGGGTATAAAGTCGGCGCGGGGAACCCGGACGCCCAGATCCGAGATGGGGGCGATGGCGCCTCGCACGCTGCTCTTGCTGCTGTCGGCCGCCCTGGCCCCGACCCAGACCCGCGCGGGTGAGTGCGGGGTCGGGAGGGAAACGGCGTCTGCGGGGAGGGCGGGGGCGGCACCGGGGAAGCCGCGTCCCCGCAGCGCCCGGCCAGACCCTCCCGCCCCTTCCCCTCCCGGCCGCGCACCTGCCCGGGGTCCCGGGAGGAGGTCGGGGTCTCACCGCGCGCCGCCCCCAGGCTCGCACTCCCTGCGGTATTTCCACACCATCGTGTCCCGGCCCGGCCTCGGGGAGCCCCGGTTCATCTCCGTCGGCTACGTGGACGACACGGAGTTCGTGCGCTTCGACAGCGACGCCGAGGATCCGAGATATGAGCCGCGGGCGCCGTGGATGGAGCGGGTGGAGCCGGATTATTGGGAGAGGAACACGCGGATCGCCAAGGGCAATGAGCAGATTTACCGAGGGAACCTGAGGACCGCGCTCGGCTACTACAACCAGAGCGAGGGCGGTGAGTGATCCCGGGTCGGAGGTCACGACCTTCACATCCCTACGTGCAGACCGGAGTCGCCCCGGGTCCCGAGTCCGAGGTCCGGGAGGAGGAAGCGGGGACCAGGACTCGGTTTCCCTTTCGGTTTAGGGGATGCGCGGTTGGGCGGGGCCTGTCGATGATCGGGGGCGGGGCTGACAGCGGGGCGGAGCCTGTGGAGGAACAGATGGGCGGCGCTGACCGCGGGGTTCCCCCCCCCCCAGGCTCTCACACCATCCAGCGCATGTACGGCTGTCACGTGGGTCCGGACGGGCGCCTCCTCCGCGGGTACAGTCAGTATGCCTACGACGGCAACGATTACATCGCCCTGAACGAGGACCTGAGGACGTGGACGGCGGCGGACACGGCGGCGCAGATCACCCGGCAGAAGTGGGACCTGGCTGGTTTTGCAGAGACACAGAGGGCCTACCTGGAGGACACATGCGTGCGGTGGCTCCTCAGACACCTGGAGAACGGGAAGGAGCAGCTGCTGCGCACAGGTGCAGGTGCCCAGGGCGACTCCTCCTCCTGCCCTCGGGCTGGGCTCAGTCCTGAGGAAGAAGAGACCTCAGCTGGGGTCCCGCCCCTGTCTCTGAGTGACACAGGGTCCCTGGGGCTCCTGATCCAGCCTGGCAGGGACTGCACTGATCTCCCAGGGCTCAGCCTTCTCCCTGGAAGGTTCCAGGTCTGTCTCAGGAGGGAGGAGAGAAGATGCCCACATCCCCAGCCGTGGCTCCTTCAGTCTGCAGCCCTGGGTCAGCCATGGCCTCTCCCAGGCCGGGTTCTCTGCCCAGACCCAGTGTCTGAGTGTGTCAGCCTTACACACCGGGACCGGAGTCTCCTTTACCTGATGGGAGAGGAGGACGCCCTGCCCTAGGCTGGTTCCCCAGTTTCTAGGACCTTCCAAAGAATACATTCTCCCAGATTCCTGTGTGTGAGGTTTTTTTTTTTTTTTTTTTTTTTTTTGAGTCAGGGTTTCTCTGTGGCTTTGGAACCTGTCCTGGAACTCGCTTGGTAGTCCAGGTTGGTCTCAAACTCACAGAGATCCACCTGCCTCTGCCTCCCGAGTGCTGGGATTAATGGCCTGTACCACCAACGCCCGCTTCCTGTGTGTGAGGTTTACATCCCTCCCTCACCCCAATTCTCTCTCTTCCTTGAATGGTCACATGAGCACTTATGGGGTACCCTGGAAAAAAACCTCTAAAATATGTGGGTTTTTAAATTTTGTCTTTTTTTTTTTAATTGTCATTTTCCTTAAGTTAGTTTTTTCTTCCTCACTGGGGTGACACTGTTTTACCCTCCATTTTTATTATCATCTGTATGAGTCTCCACAGGTGTCATGGGGGACTGCTAACTGGATAATTAGACAACTCAGTGTTCCCTTTAAAGAGTCGCATGAGCTTAGACTATTTTCTGCCACAATTAACTATCCAAACCCACACTAAGCTCCCTCAGCCCCAACAAGTTTCAGTGTTGCCCCCAGTGAATTAGGAGTTGAGCTTTCTCAGAGACAGGGTCATCTGCAACTCAAGATCTGGAGTGACAGAGAAAATCCACACACCCCTGTGAGCACCGCTGTGTCCCAGTGAGTGCTGCACTGGGCTCCACAGCAAAGTCCAGGGGTCCTGGGTGACAACACCTTGTATCTTGCCCCAGTGTCAGAGGTTCACCCCTTTTCTGCTGTTCACTTGGACAGACAGTTATGCTGCTCAGCAAGATGGCCACAGTGGTTGTGATTCAATGGTAGCAGCAGTAGTTGGTGGCACCCTTTATGTATCCCATTCTTCATAATTTCTTATTTTGATATGAATTTAATCACATATATAAATTAATTATTTTCCATCCCTTCTTCCATTCTTTTCCCACCTAACTTATGCTATAGAACATCACATAAGGAAGACCATGGGACCTGCTGGGTCATGTGATTCCCTCTTAGCTTCTGGGTCCCCCAGGAAAGTGTGCAGATCTGTGATGAGGGGGACCAGCTCCACCTGCAGGTCACTAGTGGGATGACAGTCAGAAGTGTTCAGACACATAGTTCAGTGTCATCATTGAATTAACTTAGTCTATGCAGATTTCAGTTAATCTTGTTATGGTGGGATTTCTTAAATCTTCCACACAGATCCCCCAAAGGCACATGTGACCCATCATCCTGGACATAAAGGTGATGTCACCCTGAGGTGCTGGGCCCTGGGCTTCTACCCTGCTGACATCACCCTGACCTGGCAGAGGGAGGAGGAGGAACAGACACAGGACATGGAGCTGGTGGAGACCAGACCTTCTGGGGATGGAACCTTCCAGAAGTGGGCATCTCTGGTGGTGCCTTCTGGGGAGGAGCAGAAATACACATGCCATGTGCACCATGAGGGGCTGCCTGAGCCCCTCACCCTGAGATGGGGTAAGGAGGGAGTGGGTGCAGAGCTGGGGTCAGGGAAAGATGGAGCCTTCTGCAGAGCCTGAGCAGTATGAGGGCTGAGAGCTGGGGTCATGACCCTCACCTTCCCTTCCTGTGCTTCCCTTCGCAGAGCCTCCTCAGTCCACTGTCCCCATCATGGCGGTCATTGTTGTTCTGATTCTCCTTGGAGCTGTGACCATCATTGGAGCTGTGGTGGCTGTTCTGAGGAAGAGGAAGGGAAAAGCAGGTAGGAAAGGGCGGGGTCTGAATTCCCTCCCATCCCCTTTTAGATGTGTGCTCTGCTCATGGAAA